ACCGAAATGGAAGAGACAGCCTAATCGAAGAATCACAAATTCAATAGAGAAAACGTTCAGATGAGAACAGGGTTTACCTTTGTGAAGAACATTTGGGAACATTGTTTTGACTGATTTGATTGTGCCTGATTCGAAATCTGTCAAAATTGAATCTGGATCGAACTCGTCTTCTGCCAATATTAGTTTGAAAAATTTGTTGTAATCGGCGGCACTTTTTCCGATCAGCAGACCATAAACCAGGGGAATAATCTGAGACGTAAACAACACATATAACGTGAACAATTGATAAAAATCATCAGGACACACCTGAAAGAGAGAAATTTTAGTTTCTAATGGGCATCATTATATTTAACTCTAACTTTGAATGTTCCATCAGCAAACCAATGGTTGCAATTTTTCAGCACCGATAAATTTGTTTCAGTCGTAAAAATAACAAGCTTTTCGTCTTCATATAATACGAAATCTTCACCACGATCTGTTTGTTTCAAATTAACTGGCAGCCGACTGTCCGGATCCAGTGGAATTGCTTTACGTTGTCGACGAATAGTTCTCATTAATACGTCACTTTTTGATAAGTCACCAGCCGCATGCAAAGGAAATGCTCGTAGCGCAGAGTGTAGAATGGTACTTGAATTCCCTGCAAGGTCACATTAGTTTTAATTTTTACTGACACATCTTGAGTCCTAAATAACAAACTTTCTCAATGTCGTGCCTTTCTCATGAAAAGTACAGTTTTCTACCAAATCTGACTTTTGTAATATGTTTTTTTTACTATTAAGAAGTTAATGAGAAATTCTCTCCAGTAGATGGATCAATACAGTTTTTCGAAGACGACATTGTCATCTATTTAGTTTTCAAAAAGGGTTTTCTCCTCAAGCTGCAGTGAAAAATTAAAGAAAAAAGTGCTTTGCAAGAGCATTTAGGCGACGTTTGATATTTATATTTTTCTCACTCAAACTCAATTACAAAAAATTTTGTTGTCTATGTTCTTTGAAGTTCAGGCCTTAAGAGAAAAATAATTAAATTGCCAGCGCATCAGGAACATGCGTAAATAATGCTCGACATTTTTTCCATTTCTTTTGCATCATATGATATTTCAAATTCTATTTATTTCATATACATCATTTATGACTTACTCATACCTTTTTCTTTTACAACAAAGTGAGTCGAAAGAAACATAATAAAGAGGAAGGATTGATGCATACATAATATTCTAATCACGATAATTTTGCTCATACACAACTGTTACAAGGATTGAAAGTGAATATTTTTCCGTTCTTTGACCTAGAAATCTCATCGAACAATGACGAAACATTTCATATTCGGAATATCAGGTTCAAATTTCGAAATTGTTTTGCGCTGAATTCCGCGCAATGGGCCTCGATCGGATGCTGTCGAGCTTTATAGAATCATCAACTTATAATTATCCAGATTGGCAGAGAAGAAAACGAATTTGTTTGTCGATAGGAGAATAAATAATGGCACAGAGACAGAGCAACAATAATGAGGAAAGTTGTAGCAACTTCACTATTAAAGATCGTGTGCGAAAAGGTTCTGATGAAATATTTAAGACAAACATCTCTTACTTTTTATGTTCAGCGATAGTAACATCAATGTCATGAAGCACCGTACTCATAGAATTTGTTTCTATTTTCACTAGGACAATGACAAAGACGATAACCAATAGCTTGAATTAGTGTTCATTGATTATTATTGTCAGGATAACTTCAGTCGTTATCGATCTTGATCAAGTGTATATATGCAAACACTATCGATTCGTCGAGTGCTTCAATTATTAGTTGTGTTCCTATTATTGATTCTACATATTTGGATTTATTAATCACGTTCATAATCAACCATTTTGTTTACTAATGGTAGTAGTGATTGTCAACAATCTCTCTTTGAGAGTGATAAGTTTATTTGTGAATCGAATTCTATCTAGAATGAACGCAAACACATTTTTCATACTCAAGACAAAGAAAATATGATGAAGCGCCCAGCTGATTTCTATTTTTCAACAAACTAGAACCAAATTTTCATTGTTCACATGCTCGACGTATCGGTAGAGTTGATGATGGTGGCAAATGGGTCTGTGATCCGTATCGATTGAAATCGCGTCATGATTGTCTAATATACAGTGTTGGATCAAGTGGTGGCTTTTCTTTCGAAACTGACATGAAAAAAGTCGTGCCCCAGTGTGAAATTCATACATTCGATAAAAATTCATACTTATGTCCAATTAACACATGTATTTTTCATCAGATTATGTTTGGTACTGAAATAAAATCAAAGAGTTGGCCGACTATTATTCAAGAATTGAATCATACAAATCGGCTCATTAATATACTTACAATTGACATAGACGGTGGTGAATTCTTATTCTTCCCTCAACTATTTAATTCGGCAAAGAGCTCATTTCCGCGACAAACTCTTGTTGAAATTCATCCGATAAATATCACTATTATTCATAATTTCAGTCAAAACAATGTTCCCAAATGTTCTTCACAAAGGTAAACCCTGTTCTCATCTGAACGTTTTCTCTATTGAATTTGTGATTCTTCGATTAGGCTGTCTCTTCCATTTCGGTCAATGTGTATGGCGTCAGATTCAAACACAAGGTTTATCCATGAAATATCAGCATGATGAACATTTTCGGTTGAATGTGAAAAAATTAATTGCCTTGGCGTTTGTTCCAATCGTTGACGTTGTCGAAGGATTTGTTTTGGTTGCTGGAGAATTTGACGACGATGCGGATGAAGTTGTGGAATATTTTGAAAAAATATGGATTGGTGAACAAAAAAAAAGAGGTAAGCTGCATACTAAAATGATAAGGTTAAAGAAATTCAAAAGAGGAGCACTTTTTAGTTTTTAGATATTTATACATAGCTGGATAGAGCTCGACGAGCTGAATCCGAATATGTGTATTTTAACCTTTCGAATCAAAATTTTAATGTCGAAAATGTGAAAAAACTGAAAATTTTAAAAAAATAGCTTAATTTTGAAAAACCAACATAAAACTCGAACACAATGTGTTTGGGAACCTTGGGAGCTTGTTATTCTTGTTGTCCGTAAAAAACTAAATCTGAAAAATAGTGTTTCGATACTATTCAAGTATGATATGATCTAAAAATTTTAGTTTTTGCAAAACCAATGCCATATTTGGGATCAGCATCAAAAACCGAATTGATTGATGTGTGTCTCAGCAAAAAGCAACGAAATTTTAAAATTTTCAGTTTTTTCACATTTTCGACATTAAAATTTTGATTCGAAAGGTTAAAATATACATATTCGGATCTGTTTTTAGGAAGCGGTCGAAAAAAGCCACAATTTGCTCATCAATTGGAATATATATGAACGTGTTGTTGATGACCTTACGCGTTCAAACAACTCAGTTGAAGGCTGGCAGAGCGCATTTGCTAATCGTGTTTCGATCAGTCATCCTACAGTTGCCAAATTAGCCGACAAAATTCGTCGAGAACAATCAAAATTTGAAGTTGATATCGCACAAATTCGTCAAGGACATGAACCCAAACCAAAGAAAGCGTCGTATAGAAAACGCGATGATCGAATTAAACGTTTGGTGAACGCTTATGATACGAACCATTTGGATGAATATTTGAATAGCATTGCAGCAAATGTGAAATTGTGAACACGATGGGTTAGTGGTTTCTTTGTTTATTTTGTTACTGTTTGGTTCATAAATCAAGAAATTAAATAAAACGTATCTATCTCACTCTATTGTTTGCTCAAGCTTTGCAATCACGATTCTGACACCGAAAAATGAGCTTGATGTCGGTACATCGCACTAATGTATACATACGGATTTCCCTTTTATAGCTGCGAGCCTTTTCACAAAAAATTATGTTAAAAGAAATCGTGCGACGAGTTGTCCGCGACAAAATGACCGCGACGAAAAGACCTGCGACCAATTGACGGGTCACCATCCCAACAACGTATAATAACATCAAATCAGTTTACCAGAATCAAGGCGATTATGAGAATGCATTAAAATCCTGGAAAAACCTTGGACTTAAATTGATTTTACTTCCACCAAATACCCTCATATAGCATCAACCTAGGACAACACGGGACTGCTATCGGTGCCACAGGCGAAAAACCGCTTTTTTCACAAAAATGCGTCTGGCGAAGTTAGATTCATTTCTACATAAAAACAAATTTTGCTTTTGTGTAGAAATGAACCTAACTTCGTCAGAGGCATTTTTGTGGGAGACTTGGTTCTCGCCTGTTACTAGCAAAAATTAAAATCCTTATATCTCGATCAAAATTTCATGTTGACTGAAGGAAGTTTTCAGAAACGCTCAAGACAGCTCACAAAGCATAATCGAACATGAACAGGTGAATTTCAGCCGGGCATTGGTTTAAGGTTTTCCAGAAACCTTCTAAAAAACCTCAAAGCATTAGTGTTCTGCTGGATCACTTTTTCGGCGTGATCAACAATACAGTCAAAAACTATGAATCAGTGAAAAATTTCTGACGTTCGACATAAAAAGTTTTTACATAAAACCAAATGTTCCGTTTGACGAAAGATTTATTTGTCGTATCTTATAGAGAAAAAAATTCTGCACAAAAATACAGGTCTATTTCAGAAGTTTTTCCGAGAGAATGGAGGTGAACTTTTGGATACAATCGCAGGATTCCAAGCTAAGAAGTTCATCGAACATTCGAAAGTTTTCGTGTTCTTCCAACATAAGTTATTTGAAGCAAGTTTAAAGCAAATTTATCGCGTTGTAATTCGTGAACAAAACAGAATGAGATGTTTTCGAATAGCTAAGTTTCGCTAAAAAAAACAGCCTTTCCCTATTTTCACGCTAGAATACAAACGTCTCGTGGGTTTTCTCGCAGATTTTGAGATATTATGTTGTTCTAAAGCTCGGTTTGACTTGTCCTGACAAAAAGAATTTGGAAGGGTGACTTAAAAAGCCTCTGATTATTACCCGAAGACAAAATGAGAACTTTAATGGATTCTGAGCATTTCTGTCGACTCATTTTAAAGAATCAGAAAACTTCAATTTTTCATGCCTGAGGTCCTCTCAACAGGAAATGTGAAAAGTTTTTCTTCGAACAAATGTGCAAAAAGCGTCCGGTTATATGTGATCGACTATACTGAGTACGATTGTTGTTTTATGCCCTAAATGCTTATTACGTCCTAAATGCTTTTAGTGGTCAAACAAATTGTTTTCTCTCCACTTTCGTTTTCGCCACTGAACGAGAAAACGATGTGCAGCGGACCCCACTTGAGATCTATACCCTAAAGACGTGACTGATTCTATACTAAACCGTACAGGAAGATATATCAAAAAAGTTATGAGCAGATGCCGTATTTTTGTGGAACTCTTCTCGAGCTGAAGTTTATACTTCAATCTGTCGTGATCTGGCTGCTATTTTATCCCTCCCCCTTCCCGAAAATTCGGGAATATTCTAGTAGCACTGGGTAACTTCTGGTAACTTAAATGCGGGGATATGACGTGCTGTGGCATAGTTTTGATCGTAAAACACGTCTTATGCCCTAGTATTGATCTTAAATTGAGTCTCGGTCGCTAGTATTTAACTTAAAATGTGTGTTGAGCACTAGTATTAGTCTTAAAAAATGTTATCAGGAAAGAAGAAAAATACGTTGACTGCGTTCCTACAAATAACCAAATATGAGGAGTTTCACTTTTTAGGCCCTATAGACGCTGCCCTGCCAAGGTTTTATGAACTGAAAGTGTTTATGATGGAATTTTTAAGTCCAAATAATATGTCTTTACAGATTTACATGAAGTTTAAAACTGACCATTTCTCGAGATGCCACCGTTTAGGCTTTAACTAGCACTTTTCGTAAAAACTCAATATCTCAGCAATATTTCAAGCTTTTGATCTGCGATTTTCGCCGAATTTTATCAAAACCTTACCACTCTATCAGAGATCAGAAGGGAAAGAAGAATTAGTAGCCCAGGTGTGAACTTGTGATATCTCCTAGTGGCTTGCTTTTATTTAAGATTGAGATGCTGAAATGAGAGCTTTTATTAGTAGGCATAGTGAAATAGATACTGCATTCGGATACAGGACAGCTTCTGCATCTGAAACTGAAAACAGTTATAGTGTAACTCACCAAGACCCCCTTTCTCCTTTGTAGCAGTTAAAACGTTTGGTATGTAACGTGGTGGACATTTACAGCGGTCATATTAGAAGACATAGTCTTCACATCTTTATTTTTGCAAAGTGTTTTATTTTCTGTTGTATTGTTTTTAATTCAACGTTACACTTTTCTTCTTCTTCTGCGCTGTTGTAATATATATGTATGTATAAATCGAGAATATGGTTTTGTTCTATTTTGTTCTTCACGAGAACAACCTTCTTTTTTCGTTCTTTGTAAAAGAAAACGACAGTTAACCTATATATAAAAAAGACGGAAAAGAAATATTTTTCTTTATTTGGTTGCATTAGAGTCTTCTTGATCCTTCTCCTTACATAATATATATATATATATATATACAGACAAAACGGCCAAATATTCAAGGCATAAATCGATAACACACTAAAAAAAACTGTAGCGGCGAATGTTCTAATCCAAAAAACAATGAAGTAGCTTTTTATTGCTACTAAAGAAATGAAAAGGTGGATTTTTCTTTAAATTTTTACAGGAATACTAAACGTGACATAAATTCTCTCGGCCTTTGTGAATACAGTCCCACACTAGGTCTGAGGTACACTAGTTAACGATTAACATTTTGTAGGATATGTCACGTTTTGTTGCACGTGAGTTGTCTAAAACACGTGACATGCTGTTAGTGGTGGAGTATAACAGAGTGCTGTTTCTGTATATAATAAACGATTGTTTATTATGTTCTAGAAACTATTATACATCTTTGCTATTATTTGGAAGATTATTCATTTATCCTACAAGAACACAAACCCAAAACATGGCACATGGACTTTCAGATCCAGAACATAGAAAAGAACATTTCGACTCTGACACAGAGTTAGACAAAAAACTAGACGAATTAGCCGAATGGGTTAAAGCAAGTAAACATTTCATCGCTTTCACAGGTAACCTAGTGGTTCACAAAATATATATGGAAGAACTTTTTTGACTATCTCCATCTATGTTTTAGGAGCAGGTATCAGCACATCAACGGGAATTCCAGATTTTAGATCAGGAATGGACACGGTTCTTGAAACGGGTCCCGGAGCATGGGAGTTACGCGATCACAAAGCTAGCCATCCAAAAAATGCAAAAATTCTCAATGATATGCAGAAAGCAATACCAAGTCCGGCTCACATGTATGTATGACTGTGACATTTGTCTCGGAACTCAACATTGTGACCCTTCTGTTATCTTCAGGGCCCTAGTTGAGTTACAAAGACGTGGAATTTTGAAAATGGTCGTCAGTCAAAACTGCGATGGCCTGCATTTACGAAGTGGTTTGAATCCAGCTGGACTAGCTGAATTGCACGGCAACATGAACCTGGAAATCTGTTCAAAATGTGGTGCTCGTTACCTGCGTGATTATGATGCTGCAGCCGGCCGCTTGGATCATTATACAGGAAGAAAATGTGATCGACCTGGTTGTGGTGAAGCGCTCAAAGATTCAATTATTAATTTCGGGGAAAATTTACCAAGAGAGGAGATTAACAAAGCATTTCGAAATGCCGAGCAAGCTGATGTTTGCCTTGTATTGGGTAAGTAACAGTTATATTCACCAGGAAACTGACTGACAAATGAGTGGCAAAAGACGAACTGAGGGACAGATGCCTTAGTTAAGCTTTCTGCCGTGTGCTACGTCCCTACCCAGTCAGTTACCTATATTTTTTGAAAAACTGTTTTAACGCGAGAGCTATATTATGAATTGATGCTTTGAAGCTGTATTGCAAGATGGAAGGTTCAAACTATTTTTTCCTGAATCCGCGTTGAAAACTGATTTAGGAAAAGGTGTTTGCTTTATTTTAGAAGTAAACATTCGTCCGCCATGGACGTCTCAATCGACAGGTGCGAATTTAGCTTCAAAATATCGCTCGAAACTCTGTTTACGAAAAATTTACCGCGAGAAAATCATTTAAAAGAAAGCACCAGAATCGCGTTTGAGGTAATCATAGGTTGCGTTATACGCACTAAATTTTTTGTAAACAGAGTTTCGCGTAATGCTTTGAGGCTAAACTCGCGTTTTTTCACGCTGTTTTTGGAGAATTCCGTTATCGCAAAACCGACTTTTCATACGCTGAACAAAATTGGTCCAGTGGCGCCATTTTAAAACCGCCACTGTTTGCTTCAAAATGCAAAAAGTGATTTGAATGAAGAGATACTTTGCTGCCCGTACATTCATTCGATAAGCTATTCAGAAAAAGGATTTGGATCGATTCTGTTCAGCGTATGAAAAGTCGATTTTGCGATAATGCGTTTTTTCGCGGTACTTGATCCAATCCCGCGTTTGTCGCGTTGCGTTGTTGGTATAGTGGTACTAAACAAAATTTAGATAGAAAAAACCAAAAGTCCCCATAGAGTATATCTGATATAGTTAAAGGCTAAGTTTCCCGAAGCAAATTTTTGCGAGGAATCCAACGGCAGTTGCGGAAATACTTGAAAATGTTTCTACACAGAAATAAGTACCCAATCAGTCATAAGTGTCTTAAAAAAACGCGAATTTAGCTTCACAATATCGCGCCAAACTCTGTTTACGAAAAATTTACCGCGAGAAAATCATTTAAAAAAAAGTGCCAGAATCGCGTGTGAGATAACCATAGGTTGCGTTAAATGCGCTAAATTTTCGCGAGTCTTGAAGTCTATTGCGACTGAAAACGCGTTTCTCGCGAATTATTGATGGTAAAAACGCGGCTTTGATTAAGGCAAATATTTAAAGCTCAGGAAATTCGCCGTATTCATGTTGAAACTGTATATTCTTGCACTCTATGAATGCCAAAACCGCGTTAAAATGAATTTTCAAAACATATAGGTGACTGACCGGTTATCCGCATCAAGCCGCCACTCATCCATTTTTAAGGTATTAAAGCTAAAGGCAGCCATGGTTCGACGGGTGTAAGTTCGTCAGTAATGTATGCCTTTTTCTAATTCAAAAGAGAGATCCAGTTATTCGCATTCTCCTCGATGCTGTGGCTGTGTGGTTAAGCTGTTTCACACGTACCCCCAAGATACTGTGTTCGGGCCTCGGCGCCACCAGACATGGAATAACCCTGGGCAAGTCATTAACGGTTGTTTGCCTCGGATCACTCGTCCGATAGCATGCTGACTACGTTGTGACATGCACCAGCCCTCGTGGCTACTATGTGGTTAGTCAGTGTGTACGGGGAGGTCAAGCGATTGAGCGAAAGAACTCTGAGTCAGGCTGACCTTCTGTCCGGAGGTATAGCTAGTATTAGTTGTAGGGAAGATATAGTGCTTACAAAACTGTCTCCGGGCAGCACCCTATACCGCAAGGTAGCCGAAAGACGGGGTATTCTTCCTTCTTCCTTTCTTCCCCTCAGCAGTAAGTGGAATAGGGTGACGCCCGGCTATGTAAAGTTTTCCAGTTTTCCTCATTCTCTTCCTTCATTAACTTAACGTCCTAGTTGCTTTATGTCTTTACTGATTCCTAATAAAAAGGCCAGCGATCAAATGACCACTGTAGGCCTAGCAATTATACAGATGGGAACAGTTGGTGAACGTCCTAGTTTTTTTCGAAATTAGATGGAAAGCTTTACTAATACTATAATTTCCTTTACAAAAGTGTTAAGTTTTCTCGTGCAGATTTCGAAACGAGTCCTAGATTAATTGCGGTTAAAAAAGCTGAAGCTGGACTGCAGGAGCCTTAACAAAGTTTGATTACCGACGCTCACCGGTATTCATCTACTTCTAGGATCAAGTTTGACCGTAACACCAGCAGCTAATGTTCCATCCAAAGTAGCTGAACGTAGACAAAAACTGATTATCGGTAATCTTCAGAGAACACCATTACATTCGTATGCCACTCTTAATATTCATGCGTTCAGTGATACGATTATGAAAGGTTTAATGGAACGGTTGAACATTCCCATACCGCCGTGGATTGTTCGTCGTCGTATTCACGTTCAAATTCGAGCATGTACAACCATAAAATCGGAGTGTTATAAAATCTCTGTTGAATCATTGGATCCGGATCAAGATTTACCTTATTCGCTGTTTAAAAATATTGTCGTCAGTGATCCGACAACCAAAAACCGACTTTTCATTTTGAACAAAGAACCGTTTATGTTTACGATCGATGTTCTGGATGATAAACAACAACAGAAAATCCAAATGCAATTAAATTTCTTTGGACATTATAATGAACTGCCTTATACACTCGAATATACTTTGGAAGGAAAAGACGAAATGTTTTTCTTGTTCTATAATCCAATGACTGGACAATGGAAACAAACAGCAAGAGCTGACGATCTTCCACACTAATTTAAATGTTGCTTACCCAAGTCCACTTTCTTGCTTGATTCGCGGCGCGAACGTGGATCGCGCCAAAGTCGCGCAACTCACGCCGAGATCGCTAAGAAGTCGCTATTGTCGTGGAGGGTTCGCGACCAACTCTTCTTTTACAAAAAGATTTGTAACACCATCACTTTTTCTTACATAATCACGCTCGGATCGCGAAGCCGCGGCACGATCGCTAAGAAGCCGCTGTTGTCGCGGCGCATTCGCGACCAACCCTTATTTTACAAAAAACTCGTAATTCGCGATCGCGACGCGATAATAGCGACTTTTTGGCGATCCAAGCGCGATCGCTGTAAGAAAAAATCGCCACTTCGCGATCGTATTTTTCTCTTACGATCCCGGCATGATACAGCGTCCCGTGCAAATCCTATTCATCGTTTTGTTTTGCTTACGCGCCTGGTATATAACTCTTACTGACTTTTAGAAAAATTTTCAAAATCTTATCACATCTTAATAATAGCTTTCGATATGACTAATACAATCTTGCGTAGCCGCATCGCGCATACGTCATTCGTGTGCGTCCGCGGTAAAAGTAGCGTGACTCCTTTACTGATATCAGACGGAAAATGCGAACAAAGAGTAACTATAGCAAAATACTCGAGAGTCATTGGTTTTTGTATGAGCGCGAAAAAACAGCGATCGCTAAAAATCGCGTCTTATTTCGCGAGTCTTACTGCGAACGCGTTACGCGATCCCACCGCGAAATTTTTAAGCGACTCCCGCCGCGACCTGCGATAAGACAGTGAACTTGGATATTTCTGTAGTAGTTGTATGTATAAAGTTCAGCGATAATAGTCTTTTTGTTTTGCAATAAAAAAGTGTAACATAGTCAGACACTATGATGTTGTTTCCTAGTGATCAGCTCAAAGAAAGAGTTTTACCTAGGCTGAATCAGAGACAAGCAATGGTTTTGGGAGAAACCAAGACCGTTAGAGGAGGCTAAATTCTCTTACAAAATTGCTTATGAGCTTCGAAATTCAAACAATCTCATGCTGTCGTAGAAGTGAGATCTCTCACTGGCTGCACCTAAAAACAGAGGTGGATCCCAATTGTTTTTGCAGCAGGAGGAATGCAAAAATTTTAGCAAAAGTTACAACTTTTATCGGGTTTTCAAGAACTTTGTTCCAGTCAGTGAAAAAATAATCAATACTTCTTTAGCAGGAACTTTGCAAAAAGTTGGTAGAATAGTCAGAAGTCTGGGAAATGTGCTCATTCTAATTGAGTCCTATAGCTAAAGTCTAACGAGGGAACTATCCCAAGTGTTAATCACAGATGCTAACGAGAGGTACCCCAATCGATAGAGCTCGACGAGCTGAGCACAATAGTATTAAGCATTTTTCCCAACGGACCATCCTCTAAGAATTTTATGTTGAAAATTCTCCAATGGAATATAGCACAGGAGCATCAAATTCATCGATTCGTATGTGTGTATCGTATTCATACTCTTTGTAATGACCAAACTTGACGTTTTATTTCTTTTTCCGCGTGGAATATTCGTTTTCTACGCCTTGTGAATAGTAACAGTACAAGTTATAATGCTGTCCTGTTCATGGACTGTTCTACGACTGACCGTGTATTCTTCTAACTATAATTTCATATAAACAGAGAGAAAATAAAAGGCGATTATTAACACCGCTTATTCTTTCTTCATTTTTCCATCACGTCCACTCATAAAACAGAGAACATAAGTTCACAATAAAACATTTCACCCTCAAGATCTTCAGAGTGAGCATCAGAATAATATCCTTTACCAAAATGATAAATATCGCAAATATCGCTAAACGTGTACTCGATGGAATATTATTAAAAGATATCGCTCGGATAAGGAACTTGACCGAGGAGGAAACTTCAATCGCTGATCAAATACTGAATCTGTTGAACGACATTTTTACAAGCGACAGTTATGAAATTGATGACGATACTACTCTGGAGTTCGTCGACAATATTGATATCAATAATACTGATATCGACTTTACGTCTGATGACAGTAGTAGCCGGTTCCAAATTTACTGCATTTACGTTGGACTATATGAGAAAAGTTGTAGATTTTGCTCGGCCGGGTATCGCATTCACAACAGTACAACGTGAATTTCCACGCGTAAAATATCCAATGCAATTAGCACGATTTCGAGCAGATGTGGAAAACGATGGAAATCGTCGACAAAAACTATCTCGCCTTGAATTGTCTGTTCTTGAAAAGTTTAAACAAGCACGCGATACAAATTTGCCGGTTCACGATACAGACATCCGACGATGGTCATTAACTCAAGCTGCAGTGGAAGGTATCGATAATTTCCTCGCTAGCGATAAATGGTTGTCGAATTTTAAACGACGAAATAACATCGGCTCTAGGAAAGTCACGAAATTTGTTGCAAAACATAAGATTTTTCATAAACAAGAAATTCACCAAGCCGGCGAAGAGTTCGTTAGTGAAGTTAAAAAGATCTTACCGAAGTACAAGCTTGAATGTATTTTTAATATTGATCAATCAGGTTTTCATTACGAATTTACATCAAATCGTACTTTATCTTTTCGAAATGAAAGATCGACGTTTGTCACCGTTAAATCACTCAACGCCACCACACATTCGTATACGGTAATGCCACTTGTCAATGCTGCTGGTCGACTCGTTAGTCCTGTTTTCATCTGTTTGCAAGAACCTACGTGTCGTTTTCCGGTAACAAAAGACGTGTTTTCAACTTCGAACGTGATCGTCACCTGCAGTATATCTGGTAAATTAAATAAATCGTTGATGGAGTATTGGATCCAGGAAGTCCTCGACGATGTCACGAACAAACGGGTTTCTTCTATTAGTCGATCAATGGTCCATTCAAACCGATATTTCTATTTATGAAGATAATTTAACTAAAGGACAATCTTGTAAATTGATGGTGATACCACGAAAGGTTACATCAACAAAACGACCTTGCGATCGATATTTCTTTCGTCAATGGAAAAGTTTAGTACGAAGAATCTCAATATTGATTTGAGGACTCGAGATTCCATAATCAAGATGCAGTCACTCGTTCACAATCAACTTTCTGCTGATATTTTTGTACCAATGATTTCCTATTCACGGTCAGCTTGTGGATATTTTCCCCCAAAATATCGGTCATTTTTGAATATAAATGAAGTTTGCTTCAGCTTCAAGGTAGACCAATGTTCTATCAGTAACTGTAGCGGTTATCCATTTATTTCTTGTAGTCATTGTCGACACATCTTTTGTTTTGAGCATTTTTTCAACAGTTATCATTTCCATTAATAAAACGAACTACTTTTCATACGCCTTTCACAATGAACGAATCTAATATATCCTTGCATAATATATGCGATAGAGTTAATACGATCAGACAAATTTTATCAAAAAGACTTATCGGGAGAAACGTTTATTACTACAGTGATCAGCTCGTCGAGCTCTGTCGACTGGTATAACTCCCACCCGAATCTGCAAGTAACACTTCGTTCGAAGAACTTACGAAGGATCACGCAGTTGATCTTGATCACTCCATGACGATTTTATATTTGTCCTTGTTTCATTTTCTCGTCAAAGAAACACGGCGCAACCATAAAACAGAGAGAGAGAGAGAGAAATAAAAATGAAGAAAGAATAAGCGGTGTTAATAATCGCCTTTTATTTTCTCTC